CGCAGACACATCGGAAAAGTGGGAGAAGTTAGCCCACCCCATCCCCTCCCATATCGAAAGTCATGGATGCGAGTAAGAAAAGATCACCCGAACCCACACCCTCAAGGATCATCGATTGCGCAGCTTCTGTAGGAATCGCTCACGGCTCATATGATACTTATTTCTGCATCGTCAACTTGGTACATATGACCAAGACTATGGCTTGGCTAACAAGTACCATTCAGAAGATAACAGACTATTTTCTATCGATAGATTATACAGCTAATACTTTCTGGATGAGTTTATGAATGATAAATTAAAACGTGGATTCATCAAAATCAAGTACTAAATTAGAGACATCCGCGATTCTATGGCATCTATGTTTTATAAAATGCTGATGGCATGTACAGTCTTATCTCTGTGAAATGGGATTTGATCGAGATTCACTTCATATAACAATTTTTTTCGTCAATCGATCCCATTATAAAAGGTTAAAGTTGTTATGATTGGTTCGACAACTGGATAGTTCTGCTATCATTGATAGAAATATTGTTTCAAAATTATTTCATCAGGAAAGGAATGAGGCCATCGAGGTACATTCCAACCTTAGTTCAATATAACACATGCACAGTTGATGAAGATTTTTCGATGCAGGACGTTTGTTTATCATTTCCTTTTTCATGTATGAGAACTTAAAATTTTTTGTTTCAAAAGAATTTTCATAAAAAGTTTTTATCGTGTATTCAAATTTTCGTCAGAAAACTAAATAATCCTCTTTTTCTCATGTTAAACCTACATTGAGTTATACTAACAATTTATGTTTTAAGACCATTGTATATTGTCATCTCTGAATAAAAGAAATGAAATCTAAACTCATCTTTCGTTTCAAAGATTTATTTGTTTTATAGATATATGTTAAAATAAAATAATTTAAAGGATACATTATACTCATGAAGGCCATACAAAATTCAAATAGATTAGTTTTCTCAAATTAAAGTTCAAAAGACGCAAAAAAGAATGAAATTTTCTATTCATTTAATTTTAGAAAACTTTATTTATCTCGCATGCAATTAAAACAATACCAACGATGTGGAACAATGAAGATTAAGACGAAAATTTTATTGTTGGAGAAAATCAAAAATGTGCTTTCCATCCTTGTTTTTCAAGCTGGCTCGTTAAAAATGGTCAAAATGTAGATGGGCTTCAAATGATTGATCATAAAGAATTATGTCGATGTATCACACAATGTAGCAAGTAAAGAAATAATTTATTTAGGTACTTTTTCGTTGCATTTTTTGTTCATTAACATTCATGTTATATTTAAATCTTTACCTATTCAAACGTATTTTATGATGAAAGATTCAAAGAAGAATGGACAAAAAAATGGAATCAAATCGAAAAAATTATCTCATATTCAAAAATTATTTCGAATGCTTCTATCGGATGATGAAACAATGGATTATTATTATTCATTTTATGAAAATGATAATGTATTAAATGCATGTATTCCATTAAAAGAAAGAAGCCAATGATCTTTGATCAAATATACTAGCAATGTAAATTTCTTCAGGTACCTATGGTCTCTCCTTGTCATGTGAACGATGTCGAGGAAAAAGCCAAATGGTTGACTTCCGTTAAAACAATACAGAATACTTATTAGTTATTTATTTTGAATTTTCTTTCCTTCAACAGCATTTTCTTGCCTTATTAATTAATTTAAAAATTCAACGAAACAAACTGTAAATCAATGAATTATGGATATGAGAATTATTTTTTGATAGAACTGCCATTTTAGTTTCGATCCTTTTTTTACGGCAAATATCAATTCGAAATTAAGAGAAAAAAATGATGTGAACATTTCACCAATGTTAATATTATAGATCTGTTTTCGGAAACTTTGATTGTGCTATTGGGCAGTTTTCTTTTATTTAGAATTATTATCAATAGTACAACTTATTGACAAAAATTGTTCTTTGTTTTTGACAATTGATTCAATTCGAAAAAGTGAAATATAAGCTCTTGTTCGATGTTTTCATGAATGATTTTTTTCAACCCATTATTACTATGATATTTGAAAAAATAAATAACGTAATGAAATAACTGAACGAATCTCCATATGACTGGTTCATGGATCATTGATTTGAATCGAACAGGTATTATATTGGCGTACGATTCATTTCAAGTTTTTAGATTNTCAATATTTTGATGATCTAGAAGAAAACAAGGACGAAAGTCTTTCATTATTACAACTGTTTGAAATACTAGGGATTCAAAACATAAAACTTCTATGAAACTCCTTGTAATCTAAGCATCTCCATATTCAAAGCTTTATCTTATTTGAAGTCTTTTTTGCAAGTTCTGTACACAAGACATTTGACAAGTATTAAGTAAACGTGGTATCTGATCTGGCAAAGAACGCCGAATTTTTGTTTCAGAAAATCGGAAAAAACGTCGGAAACATAGCTGTGCACAGCGGTAGCATACTAATAAAGTCATATGCACTGAAAAAAACAATTTATTCATTTCAATTTCTGAAACATTGTTCTAAATTATCGTACCAACTGTACAAGTGTTTTAAAGTCGCTTTAACGTCCAAAATACTGTAAAACGGCTTGCTAGCCTTGTACGATACTTAGCAATGATTTTGAATTAGTTTCAATTCTGGGAGTCGCTTATAATTTTTGTGTTGCATCTAGTCCTGCTTTCAGTATACTCATGCGCATTAAGTGAAAAAGAAATAAGTTGTTTGGCTTCTTTTAAACATTAGTTAAAAGCATAATCCATGCTACATAGGAAAAATTAGAACGATGCAAACGAAGACCTGTCCAAATTAAGACTCGCTCAGCCCCATTCAATCATACCGTATTCAAGAATGAGGCTAATGTGTATTGTTCTGCGGAAATAAATTCAGACAACAATAAGCTTTTTTCTAACGTTAACAAATAAAAGATTTTCGAGCAAAGTAATGAATTATTTTGTTTGTTGTATGGTCAGATAAAATATGCAGTACACAAAGTCGTAGAATAGAGTAGGAATATCACACAAAATAAAGTCGACGAATCAGTTTGGTATAAAAGGTCATAATCTTGTAAGATTCAAGTCGACTTTAATTGTTTGAAAAACATTAGTTTATGTTCAAGATCAAGAAATACCAACATAAATTATTATTAAAATGAAAAATGTTCAACAGATGAGGTCTATCTGAATAGGTATTTAGTAAATATGAAAAGTTTTAAGGTTTTGGACGCCGATCTATCAGTGAACACAGTAGGTTTGGTCTAGCACTGTGTCTACGATATTCAAAAGTGTTTTTGGAGACATAAAAGACGTATCATGGTAGAGACTTTCTGAATATGTTTCTTTGTTCGTTTGTCAACGTTTAAAGGGCTACTCTCTAAAATCAAGGTATCATTGAAGATTTTAACGAATATACTAAACCTGTTAAAATTCTATATCTTCATTATTAAATTCCCCAACGTTTTAGATATATTGAAAAGCTAGTCCACATAAAAAATGACTCCAAGCATTGAAAAAGGTTCTACCTCACACTCTTTTTTAAAATATTGAACTCTTTTACAAAGATACTTCTAGTGTCAGACACCTAAACTAGAGCTGTACCATTTTTCAACGCGGCTTGATTAAATTAATCCTCAAATAGAATCACTTAAATAATTCCAGTAACAAAAAAAAAGGGCGACAGACGCTACTTAATTCAATAAAAATAATTGTTAACGGATCGCTTAACTATTACTTTATGACTTACACTTTTCTTTTGTTCACTATTTTATTACAGTTTTTTCAGTAAAAAAAAGCCTACTTCGAAAAGATAGACGTTTTATAAAACTTAGTTAGTTAGACAGTTTTAATTAAAAGAAATAGATTACTTATTTTTAAATTCATTTTGGATGTCTCAGTAATCAATTCAATAGTAACTTTAACTTAGAAAACTAATTATTCTTGTTTTGATTTCGAACTGTCACAACAATAAACGTTAATAATCAGCTAATCAAAGAAAAATCTTTTTGGATTTAAGTTTATCTACAAGGCAAATTTGAAAAGAAAACCATTACAAAGATTTCCATTATTTTGAAAAGTGAACTCTTCGATCTTTTCTTAGGGAGACAGAAGAGGATGTCTGAGTGAATACAAACTATTTTTTGAAGCCACAAGAGAAGGTTCGAATTCGCATCATATTATGGTAGAACCTTGAAAAATTATTATTAACAAAATCGGTGAAAGAGTTGTACACGAGATTATTTTAGAACAAGAAGAAGAAAACGACTAAACTCAGACACCATCAGAAAAAGTAGTCCAAAGTATGTATTATATGAAGCGAAAGTTTTTGTAACAATTTTGAACTGATTGTGATTGTTGCTCGACACTTAGAAGTCTAATTTATATAGGTTTCATTTGAAACAGTGAAGCTCCCGTTACAAAATTTTCTTTTTTTTTTGAAAAAAGTTCTACTACTATTTGACAGGAAAGTGTAGAAACTGATCATATACTCTGTTTAGTGCTAATGTTAAGAGAACGTATTTTTTCAAAATAAAGTGATAAGAGAACTCAGCATTGATGTTTCTGATCTAGTTATGCAGATTTTTATGAAACATCTAATTATAAGAATTCAAAAATACTATTGCTAGTCGAGCTGCCTTACCTAAAACCAGAGATATACAAGTCCAAGTCGGAGTTGGAGTGGATTTTAAAGTTGACGCCCGAACTTGTTCTCTGATAGATGGAATTATTGTACGGAAACTCTAAAAAGTATCCCCAGTAGAACATCTTCTCGAATGTTGTAAATACTCGAACACTTTAGAGCCTCACGACCTTTTCCAACGTATAGAGAGCCTGAAAGTCATGAGAACATTCCATAGATTATTCTTGGCTAAACTAAACTTTCGAACAATGTCGTTTTCTTTGTATAAAAACGAAAAATCTGCACTTTAACACGATTTTGGTCACTGGTAAGAGGGCACAGTGATCAAAAATATACTGCATTTTTTTGTTTATGTTATTTCCCTCTAGACAAATTTTAAGAACAAAAGGGACGCTAATATAGCAATGTTGAATACAATTTTATCACCTGTTGAGCCTAACTCATGTATACTAGGGAGGCCCGGGAGACCGGTCGCTTGCTCAACGGCTCGAATGATTGCGCGTTCAATAGTTTCAGCAGCCATCATCCCGATGAGATCAGTATTCGACACAGGAGAAGCTCCAGTGGCCAATGTGAAGATGATATCTCCATCGAACATTGTATGAATAGGATTGATTGCTCGAGCGAACCCATCATGAGCCATCTGTGACACCTTTTTAGCTTGAGCCTTAGTGAGCTTGGCATCAGTAGCTACACAAGCAAGTGTTGTTGCAGTTCCAACTGGAGAAATGCTGGCAACAGTTGGACTGATGCCGAGTAAGGTATTTAGTGTGTTTAGCAAACGTTTACCATCGGAGGTTCTAGCGCCCGCTATTAATGTTCCATCTTTATACACATCTCCAACTGCATTAACGGCGACAAGTGCACCAACCGTGACTGTAGCATTTGTGATCAAATCTCGAACAGTCAGCGAAGTACTACCAAGTCCCGTTTTCATAGCACGTTCCATGCCAAATAATTTTCCTATAGTAGCTCCAGTGCCGGCCCCTACATTACCTTCGGTGACGCGTGAATTATTAGCTGCGATGCAAGCTGAGTAACCCAAGTTCGCATCAGGTACTATGAATGGATCATTGCCAACGCTTAAATCGTATAATACAGCAGCTGGTACAATAGGAACTGGACGACTGCGGGTCGCGAAGCCCATGTTCTTTTCGGTAAGACATCGAACAACTCCTGATGCTGTGTCGAGTCCAAATGCGCTACCGCCAGATAAAACAATAGCGTTAACAGTATTCACCAAATTTATTGGATCTAGAAGATCAGTCTCACGTGTGCCCGGAGCTGATCCACGAACGTCGACGCCGCCAACACATGTCGTATTGCACAAAATAACGGTGCATCCAGTAGGACGTTCTGATTTCGAACTGTGACCAACAAGTATACCTCCTATAGTTGTAATGGAACCATCAAATGACTCAATCTTGATTCGTCTTTCGTTGAGCGTAACAGAATGTCCAGCTTCACCAACCGCTGTAAATAGAAATGCACTTAGGTAGCTTATTCGTATCAAGTCGACACTGATTCTTGACATGATTAAATATACTACAACAAGAACATTTTGATGGTAAGTCACAAGTTATTATGATCCAAGTCAAGTTATGTCAAAAAAATAACTATGTATTTTCATTTAGCCATCCCTCATCTGAAGTACATGAAAGCTAAATCTCATAGCCTTATCTCCTTTCCTGTTTTGACTTGTGACTTGGTTCCGCAGGTCAAGTCAAAAATCAAGTGAAGTCATCTATAAAATTTTAAAGTCAAGTTAAGAGTGCCAAAAATAGTTCTCTCGTTGTGGAGTTCGCCAAAATGATAAATCCTGTTACCGCCTGTTCTCTGAATCTGCCTTTTAGTACCAGTTATTGAGTTAGGAAATCTGAAAAGATTTCCTTTCCCTTGCCTATACTTAACCACTTTTAGCTTATAACGCTGAAATAAACACTGAAAGTCATTATACGGGTTCCGTGTAGGTGAAGAAGAAAGTAGTTATCTTGATGATGTGACGATGCGACGTCGATCTATAAAGGTACGAATATTTGTAGAAGAGCGACGTTAACAGTGGAGTTTCGAGGACATGGGGAAGTGCAAAGCTCATTGGCATCAAGCCAGAAGCTTATTTTTTGCTGAAGACAGATCCTTCTTGAATCGCGATTGAACATCGCTTTTTTGCGTTCCTTATTTCGCAGCCTATGAGGCCTTCGGAGGAGGCACGTGCACGCGAAGTTACTAAGAGAATACCTCAATATTTTCGTCTAGAATAATACAAGTATATGATAATCATCGATATGTGCATCTATAATGTTCTTATCGTCATTTTATTTCTCTAGCCTATCGTTCCCTCATAAGTACGTTGGTAGAAATTATTGAAAACTGTTTTGTTTTGCTTCTGCTCACTGCATATGTAACTAATCGATAGTCGAGACGGCGTAATTGAAGCAAAGGTTGTGGTATGAATGGTATGCTGATGTAGATTGTGAGGAACGGTGAGAAGGAGCGACTTGAATGTGTCGGAGTTAGCTAGTTTCTATATTACCACCTTCTTCTTCGTTCATCTGTTTCTGGTCACGTTTACTTATACACCTTTTTAATGCTACTTAGGACGAAATATACGAAATCCGTTTACATTCACAAATGGCCGTAAACACTTCGTATTTCACTGTATACGATCGTAATATAGAGCTATGCAATGCACCAAAATACGATGTTCCCCGGTTATTTAAGAGCGTGCTTGTTCCATCTGAATAAAGGGTTTATCTCGAAACTCTTGCCTTGATCAGTCATTCTTTAATAGTGATACGAAAAATTGATTAAATTTCTATCTATCTGTCACTATTACTATCTTGATTTTCCCTATCACTATTAATGAATGACTAAGAGAGTAAAGAAAAAGAAAGCAGATTCATCTGAATGTTGAGTCATTTGTCTTAAATACATTCTACGAAGAAGTATCTCATCGAGATAAGAAACGGCACTAATTTTTGTTAGCTAATTAATTATTCATTTTTAAATAAAAAAAGAGAAAAGAACAGAACTTGGTCCTCTGAAAGTCTTTATCATAGATCTCGGAATTGACGAAAAACGAAAAAAGGAAAATTTCTCGTAACACTATCGTGATGTCGTCTAAACAAAGTGAAACTTCTTTTGCCAATAAAAAAGAAAAGTGTCGTAAAATGTTCTCCACCGAGTTATCTGTCTAGTAGTCTACTTACAAGTATAATCTCAAAGTTTCAGTTCGAAAAAAAAACATTTGATATCGGTCTCAGTTTTACGGAGTCCTAGAAGGAGAAGATGAAACTAGATGCGATTTAACGACCTTGACAAGCTCTCAAAAGCTTACATAATATAGCTTGAAGATGAATGAAGGTCTACCAATGTATTGAATAAAAAGAGTTTGGCAGTGATGAGAAGAGTGATATCTACATCTTCATTCACTCACACTCACGCCCTTCATTCAAATAACAGCATTGAATAGTGAAAAAATAATTGAAACAAAATAATGTGTTTTTTTTTTCTAAAATATCACTTTCGAGAGACTATTGCTGATACCATGTAGAGTTTTATTCCATCTTATCTTTTTCAAAGGATTAGGTAGAGTTGCCAAACGTAGAAAGTGAAAATGTCGAACAAGTAAAAGGTTGAAAAACAACATTATCGAAGAACAAGTGTCGAATGTGCGAAATGTCGAAAATGAAAATATCGAAAATGTTGGACATTGAATGAAACTGTTGAAAATTTCGCATAATGCATTTTCTATCAGCTTACTCTATCCAATGGAGAAAAATGTAGATATTTGTATTGTTATTGAGCGAAAGAATAATAAAACAGTGTGGGTGTGTGAAGAGCACAACGACAGTCACCAACATCCATATTCGAACCCAGGTCCAAACCCACTCACACTCACAGTTGCTCATATTCTCACACCGACATCAACACACACACAGCCACATTCTCAACATTTGGTACCTTTGATATTTTTCTTCTTCGACTTTGAGTTTCGACGTTTATTCTACGCATTATGCAGTTCGATGTTTTTTCTCTTCAATATTTTGCCTCATTGACATTTTTCCTGTCGACATTTTGACTTTCAATGTTTTGTAACCTAACCAAGGATTCGTGCTAATGAGACTGTTACACTATGATGATAATTTCGTTGATGATTAGGTTTTTCTTGTTTTGTTAACTTGAAAAACAAAATAACCATTTATTTCAATAATTAATTCATTTATATATTTAGTAAAGGAAAAAACTTTGGTAAAATAAGTTTTCAGTTGTGTTAAATCCAATGTAGATACTATCTCATTTGTTGTTGCATGGTTTTTTTGATTTTGTACGTCTCTTGCCGTGTACTTTTCCTTTTTTAATATTTTTATTAACTATTTCGTTTGTTTCTAGTATCGAATTTGTTTGAAGGATATATTTATTCTTCATAGAAAGAATGATTGAAGTTGATGACGCTTGTTGATCAAATGGTAATTCTTTTCGGAATGTTGTTAATGTTTTTCCATTTTGTCAAACGAATACTAAACAATGATTTCCAGATTGAATTATTGGTCGTTCGGAATAAGAAAAAATTGAAAAGAAACCAACACCAAATTGTCCAATAGCATCAAAATTGGTATTTCCTTCAGCTATAGTTATCACTTTTTTCCAATTATCTTCACTAAACACATGACCATTATTTACTATATGAATTTCATTTATTATACAATTATCAAAATCATTCTCAGATAAAGATTGATCAGTAACTAATGAATGACCATTTTTGTCTGGCTTAGAATAAATTGTATTTGCTCCGAAATTATTTTCAATCGATTGTCTAATATCTTCCAATGTATTGTTTGTTTGTCTTTGATTCATTGATAAATAATCTTTATTAATTGATTCATAAGTTTGTGTTGGGTGTGGGTGTGGGGGGGGGGGTCGTTGAGTGTAAAAACCCACACCCACACACTTGCAATTGTGGTAGAGTGAAACGATTAATTGTTGAACGCTCGATAGTTTATCCAGAATATGTTTATCGTTATTTTCCTTTATTGTGAATTTAATTTTTTTCTTAGAAAATCAGGTGTATAGCAGAAAATTTTAGTCGTCGATGAAAACCAAATCTGCAGTGGGAAGTAAATTATTGTGGAAAACAATTGCTAATATAATCTTATGTCTTTATGTTGCATCATGATCAAAAAAATAAAATTGGATGTTATCGTGGTACGGCAGAGGCAGATATTTTTAAGCGCTTCTTTTATCACATATAAAGGATTTTTGCAATTATTATAATTAAATCTCACCAATACTCGATTTAGAAAAAATGTTGTTCTTTTTCCAACTTTTGCATTTTATGATTATTTTCTCATGCAAGAAGTACAAAAGGTTTTAATCATATATGAACAAATAAGTATTTAAATAAACACTACAGTATTTACAGCTCAAAAAAATCTTGATCACATATCACAACTGATGGATAAATTTCATGTGATATTTAACTGTATAAACTAATGAGTTAAAAATTCCACTTTTTATTTTGATCAAGAAGAGCAGCATGATGACGAAAATCAAAATTAAATTCAATATTATGTAATTCACTAACTAAAATAAAACAATTTAGACACAATCTATCTTTAAATGAAATTTCTTTAATGAAAAAGTTGACTATTTATATGACTTTATTTAACCAGATAACAAAATTATTGATAGGCTGAATTAAAAATATTATTAAAGTTCTTTGATCTACGGAAAGAAAAAGTCATGAAGTTTAATTTTATAAAAAGCAGATGTGGACTATTTCTATTTCTAATAAATTTATTTATGTAAAATTTGTTTCTTTTTACAGAAGAAAAGACTTTTTTATCTGTTGGACATGTTAATGGAGAAAGTGAATCAATTGATGAATGTCCACTTAATGATTTAAGCATTTTAAAATTCGATTGTAATTGAGAATCATAAAAATGATTTTGATTAAAATCATAAATAAAATTCTCTTGTGAATTTAAATACATAGGTCGTGATGTTGGAAGTTTAGATTTTAATCATGCAAATTTATCTGAATCAATATCTTCAAAATGTGATACACGTTTCATAACTGATTCAACATAGGCAACAGTAGTTAAACAATTCCATTCACTTTCATTTCTTCTTTTTAGGATATTTTTGTTTGTTTTTGATTCACGTTGAAAATCACGAACTATATTTTCTGCATGACCTGCTTCAAATTTTTTACGAAAATTGACAAATTTTGTTTTCATGTCATTTTCATTTATTGGATCATTTTAATTCCATATTATTTAAGAAGATGTTTCGGTTGTCATAGAATCTGTTGATGGAGATATTGGGTATGGATGTGGGTATGGGTCTTGCCTCCGCACAGACATAGACACCCCGCCCGCACCCACACCATTTTGTTTCGGATGAGTGTATTTTTCTGTGACTCTGAAGTTGAGAAGTGATGTAGTTCATGAAAATAATTGCTTTTTTTATAGCTAGACAACTATGCTTCTAAATAGATTATAATTTAAATTGACTTTATATCTTTGTCAGGAATTAAGTTTCAACATCTTTCAATGCATTTTCCATCATATGCTAATTATTTTCATTGGGATTTTGGTCTTGAAAAAAATACGAAAACCACAGATCGATTCGAAAAAAAAAAGAAAAAATAATATCTATTTGATTAGATACGTGTGATGCTTATTTGATTACTGTTCCAATATTTTTCGAACGTGATTCTTTTTTTGAAATTTCGATTACATAGCAGAATAGTTGCTTCACAGAAGTGCACCAACATGATTCATTATTGTTTGTGGAAGTTAAGAAATAAAAAAACAGCAGCGTGATTACATGCATTCTTTCTTCTACTCCCAGTTTCTTTCTGTCACTATCGTTTTCGTTCTTCATAGTGACATGTAAAATTTTATCGACCATGCTTACCTCTCGTTAAGTAATCTTTGTGGATACGATGTAATTGAGATTCTTTTTGTTCCGTCAAATATTTCTTTTTAGCTTTATTCTTCAATAGACTCGACATCAACATATTCACATGATGATAGAAGCAAAGAGTGATGATTGTTTCGTTAAATATTGTACAAAAACAGACACAACGACATGTGTAAGATGTCGACAGATGTTTTATTGTGATGAGAATTATGCACAACATCGTTTGGATCTCAGTCGACAGTTGGAACAACTTATAATGGAGCAGAATAATGATCCGTATCAGACACAACAATATGAATCAATAGAAAACGTCGACGAATGGAAACGTTGCTTGTTCGTTAAAATTCAACTAGAAGCAAAGCAAGTCAAACAAAAAATATCATTGTCTCATGATATTCAACATTATCTCAGAAAAGAATCGCCATCGAACCCGCTAAGAGATGAACTTTGTCGGAAATCCAAGGAAATTAACTCTGTGAACAAATACATGAAAACATGGAAACATGAACTAGAACAACTAAATATATTACTTAGAAATTCACCATTAGATTTGAAAATGCAACGAAACTCGATATCACTCAGCGTTAGAATTCAGATGATAACTGCACGTAAGTCTTCTTATACAATCACATATGAATTGAAAAGTCATTAGCTATACCGTCATATGAGATAAGTCTATTTTATTCAATTCTTCAGAGAATAAAATTTGCATTAAAAGCTCCATTCCATTCATGAAGGACTAGCAGAACTTATTTTTTTCTAATGAGTTTCTTGTGTTATTTCGACTTTATTAATTCTGATGATGTGCTGATACAGTCAGACCACACACTCAGACGAACATTCTAATCCGTACAATCACCCACATTTTATATGTATTGAGCAACTCTGGTAGTTTTTTCCTAAAATACTTATGAACTTATTGAAAACTCCTGATAAGTCATGCAAAAATAAATTGCGGCAATTATTGGCAGAGTTACATCTAATCGATATATTTCTTGTATAGGTTTAACAAACAACAAATATGAACCTTTCTTCACTGATAACTCAGAAAAACATGAAGTAAAACGATATCCAAATGATAATTTTAAAGAAGTAGAAGTAGCTAGTGCTCGTAAACAACGAACTCATCCCGATAAATTATGCAGCCCTCAATACGTGATCATGAATGACGATCATTCGGATTACGTGTCTCATTATTGTAAAAATGATATAATGAAATGGGAAGAAGGTGCACTACAAAAAAATGCGGTAGATGATGATGGCCAACGACCACGACACAGTCTTAGACAATTATCAAGTATTCTCGAGAAATTGTTGTCCATCAATGAGGCAGTATTTATGAGGCTGATTATCGTGATCTTCAAATTATATGCTGATTATATACAAGCACACGGAGAAGTAACATTACGGATCGAAATGATCAAAACATACACTGAAATCAATTCAGTAGTCCTAGTGACCTTTCATCTGATTAACATCGCAAACAATATCTTCAATCGAGGAAATCATCGAGTACAAAGCAAATATTTCTAAATAGTTGTCGTGCTGCGATTGTCGTCATTGCTGGCTGAGTAGTTTTTGCAGCGAAACATATTCAATATGTTCTTGTGTGGTTTTGCTTCGCTTGAGTTTTTTTTTTTTTTTTAAATAAATTTGAGGATGAATCGAGAAAAGTAACAATAATGAAAAGGTTGAATTGCAATATAAAAGAACGTTGAGTCATTTAATGAATTCGTTTGAATGTACTATGACTCATAAAGTCAATAAAATATTCGAGAATTCATATTTTTACCTGAAAATTGTTCGAACCATGATAACTTGTAATGATCCATAACAATCATTTTTATTTGTAACCTTATTTGTGAGTCATTCATGTACTCTTTCGAGTTTTTTAATCTTCTATTTACATCAAATCATTAATTGACTTTAACAAGTATCATATTCGGAGCTCATAATATATCATTGCAGCTTTATCAGCAACAAGCGAACATACACTTAACTAAATTAAAACTGGATTTTATTTTAGAAAAAAAGAAAGCATTAAATTAGTGCTGACATTTTTTTGTTACTGTTTATAAGATAAACTAGACGTTACAAATTTTCATATAAAGAATACCTTTGAAAATTGTACAATGATTGAGTCTAAATCTCCACTTCCACGATATAAAAGTCCAACCAATTCGGCAATCTGTACATATAAAGAATTGAGGATGCAAATCATTTTGTGAATAAGATTAAAATTTTTCAATTAAGTCTAGCTGTGGGTTTGAGAGTTTTGTTCGGCCCCACATTCACACACATCCATCCTCCTTGGAGTTAGTATATTAGATAGAGAATAGAAAGTAAATAGAGAGTTAACGACACCTTTAATAGAGTATTTCTCGCTCGATAAAGAGATTACTTCCCACTGAATGAGAGCAAATAAAGGAACTAGACTAGATGAAACGACAGCCATCTTGACTAGTTAGTCACGTAGCCTGAAGAAGAATTCGAAACGCGTTGCTTTGTTATTAATTATTTATTATATTTTTCTTTTAATTGTTAAATTAATAAAATTATAGAAAACCTTGACAATGATCTTAAAATTAAAGAAGAAAACAAATTTGCTATTGTTATTCTAAAAAGAAAGTTCTTTTCCTAACAAAAATACTGTTTTTTTTTCTCAACTCCTAAAACAAGCTCAATTTATCTTAATGCATTAAATTCAAAAGAATATTTCTGGTTCATTCTTTAAAAACTCTTTAAAATAAACTTCATTTCCTTTTATTACATAAAATTCATTTACAAAGAGGTGTATTTATCTCAATAATTTTTCTTACCTAAAATAATAACTAAAACGCTCTCGTTTAATTTTCTTAAAAGAAAACAAATTTACATCATCTTATTAATAATAACTCTTTCTTATATCATTCCAAACTAGAGCCTTGAGAATTATTCGTTCTTAAAATACTTCATATCAGAATCTGTCATTGGTATTCTCATTTAACTTAAAACTCAGGTAGTTGCCATATTACTACCTAATATAAACCGAAATCAACCTATTAAGCTTCTTCATATCTTTCAAGAACACTAAAATACTTAAAAATATTTAAAACTCTAGCATAAAAAAGAATTAAAATACAAAGAGTATTATATATCAATATATACTCATTTAGCTATTTATTTATTTGCTTTTCTACTCAACTACTTACACTGTTATTTTGTTACTTATTTAAAAACACATTCAGAGAAAAAGAGTGTAAATCCAAACCATTAAATCAAGGATACACAGTTAAGGATGATGAAATGGTCTCCATATTCATACACCCTTCAATCATTCTTTAATAAACATATGGTACTTACTACACGAAGAACTCATGAATACTGTATTATGTTCAATTTCTAATACTAGCCGATTTTCTATGCGTCTTTTCTACGATTTAGGAAAAACCTATTACAAAAGTGTGCTCAATTGCCATATCGGTTCACGAATAGCAAGTAAAAAAAAAGAAAACTATCGTTCCTAGAGTGGCAAAGGTTGTAGGACAACATTTCCAGAACCAGTGATCGATGCATCTTGTTTGTAAATACGTGGCATACGACTTGAGAAGGAAAACAATATTTCTCCCTTCGGTACATTTGCTTCACGTGCGATATCAACCACACTAATTGTCTCGTTGCCTTCCTGTTCAATGAAAATCATGCGGGTTCCGACCGAAATCAATCATAAGTTGATCCAAGGTAATGTGTCCAACAACCGGCAATCCTTTTCCTGCGATGAGGACGCCACTTGGTTTAAAATTTTGACACCATCCGCCAGCATATCCCATAGGCACAGTGCCAATTCATTCAGTTTGCATTGTTGTCTATATACGATGAGATCTAACGTTGAGTAAACGAAAATAGCCGTTTGAAGAGGGAAGGTAAGCGATTCTTCTGACGTTTGCTTCAGTAGAATAATCAATGTACTTCCACAGCGAACCATATCAAAGAATATTGTTTTCCCGTTTTAAGTAGAGTAGCACCGAAATTCGCACAATAAATAAGTTTTTCGGTTCGATTAGGAATGGCCTCATGAAAATCGTGAAAGGGTGTCGGTTGCTATTGAAAATAGGTTGTATTGGTCATGTCTATAGCTGTAGAAAAGTGAGCAAAGACTCCAGATAAGTTTAGGTTTTGGTTGTGAGATAGAATGTTAATTACTTCTTGCACTTCGTCTAATTCCTGAACCCATGTCAAAGAGATGCCTATCACCGTAATTTTCGAGCAACTAGTCAACGATAAATGCTGTGGAGAGACATAGCCCAGAACGAGAATAGGCGTATCTTTTGTTAGCTGATGACTCAGTAGAAGTGCTTCGTCCAATGTTGTAACGCCTAACCAAGTTGCACCAGATGCAAGAGCAGTGCGAACTATTTCCAATATTCCATGTCCATAGGCATTGGTTTTGACAACAGTCATTAGACGCACTTTGGGGTGTGGGTGTGTGGTTAGAAGGAAGATAAGAAGCCACACCCACACCCTTGATAAGAACCATAACGCAACAGTAAAACAGCCGCTAAAAGACTAACAAATGAGGGATATCAAGGTAGATGTGAGTGTAACTGTATGCATGTTACGGGAAGATAGAGACCAACACCAACACCCTATCAGAGAATAGTCTACTATAATCAGATTTTTAGTCCGTTTTTTTTAAATAAGTATTTCCTACTCTCACCTTCAATCACACATCCCACAATAAAGTTCTTTTAGTCCTGTACTACACCAAAGTTATTATTAATGTTCATCATGCAGTTTGTCGACTATTTCGATCGGTGAATTCTTCAAAAAGACGTCTAAGTTGCTCACCGATGTTGTTATTGTGGAGATACATTCCAGTGACTTTCAAAATGAAAAAGTGAAGATGAAGATATGAGAGCGATAAAGTGAAAATGAGGATCACCATGTTATTCCGTAATGCATCAGCTAGATATTGTGCTCCACTGGCTTTGATTTGATTGCCAGAGAGATATAATGTAGTAAGTGTCTTTGTGAAGAAAAAACGTGGAAATATGAAACAGCTGAAGAGAAAATTAGGCTTGCCCTGTTCTTTTGTAATGCATTAGCTAGATGTTCTGCTCCTTCGTCTCCAATTTGATTTTCACAAATATCTAATGTGTTAAGTGTCTGTATGTAAAAGTACAGATGAGTATATCAGAAAGAGGGTGGGTGTGGGTGTGGGTATCAGAAAAAGATTAACATCCACACCCACATCCTCATGTACCACCATGCACCATCATGTATCACCTTGTATTGAGTCCATGTATCCCTGTGATACATGATGATACATGAACCCGATACCAAGCGGTACAAGGTGATACGTGAATTCTAGAACTCTAGGTTTTTTCGGGGTATATATGGTATTATATCGATACATGGGCCTGATACAAGATGATACATGGTGGTACAAGGTGGTACATGGAAATTCATGTACTACCTTATGACACCTTGTATCACCTTGTATCGGGTTCATGTATCGATATAATAACATATATACCCCCAAAAAACCTAGAATTCATGTATCACCATGTATCATCATGTACCACCTTGTACCACCTGGGTGTGGGTGTGGGTGAGGGTGTAGGTGTGAGTGTTGGTGGGTGTGGATCTGAATTCTCTTCAGATACTCACACCCACACCCACAAGGTGGTACACGGTGATACATAGTTAACTGTGAACCGAGTGGTACAAGTTGTACTCGTACTTGCGCAGCCCTCGAATAACCATCATAACTATCATGATACTTATCACCAAAATTAGTAGAGTAATAATGTTGATAATAACTATTTTGAACCGTTTGCTATTACAATATTCTCCACAGTGAGTTGCAAACCTTGTTTATGAAAGAAAACTCACTTATTTTTTTACAAAAGAAAAGCCCTGCTGCAAAATAACTCTTACTTGAAAGTTGTTGATGCTTGTTGTGAATGATTATTTAATGCTGGTGAGATTATCTCAGGATTGATTTCTTCAAACTCCACTGTGAAAGAGAGATCACTTATACTATTTACAGCAGAAAGTGATATATGGAAGAGCTTTTTCTATGGATCAAATGGCTGCGACTTGAATAGAATGATCTGAATCAGAACAAGAATTCGAAGTCAGTCACAATAATACTTTGTTTTCCTTCCTTTTCGTTTGAAATTATTTCAACAATTGAAGGATGTTTATTCGATTGAACTCACTATAATCAGGCGATTGTTAACTGTATACTAATTTAAAAACATGGCTCGCTTGGTAATTTATAGCATTATTGATAGACAAGAAAAAAATCAATATTCTAATTATGCACTTTTTATTATAAAACAAATATCAGGTTTCAAATACGACGACTAACAAGGTTTATTTTTTTCTCTACTTTTTTCTAATTCTCTGCTGTTCTTGAACTTGTGACTATACACAAACACTCATTCGTCAATTCGTTTCAAATACTGTCTCTAAGCACTTTTTCGAGAATCATGTAATCAAGAGAAAAAGAGTGAACCAAGTGACGACGTTTTCAACGTCATTAATTAAACGCTATGAGAAACTCAGGAGATCATCAACAGACCAATATCCATGTATACTGACAAAAAGGATTCATTTTTGCAGATTTCATCTATCTCGATAATTACTATTTTTGATATCCTTACAGTTTGCGGATGTGTGTGACTGTGGGTTTGGTAGGTGTGTGTGGGTGTGCGTGGATATGGGTGTGGGTGTGGGTTAGGAGCAGATGAAAACCCACATTCACGTTCACGCTACACCCACATCCAGTCACACACACCCACACTCATACCCATACCCACACCCTATGGCCATACATAACCTAGACGAAGATAGACTATATAGAACGGAGCATCCATTAATTCAGTGAACAATTTAGAAAAAAGCAGAACAATCATTGGATGATTATTCAATGCATTTCGTAGAACACGTTTGGTAAACAATTGATAGAGATAAAAGAGTGCACATACAATTGATAGAATATCGACAGGAATCAATAGCCACATTCGTATTATCCGATCAGCAGGCAGATTCTCATCAACAATCGTTGTTGTGTTATTTGAATTTGATTACATGATGCACAGTTTTGCATGATAAGATCCTCTGATAGTGTGCCAATTTTCTGTTAGAAAAATGATCGCTCATATCATCATGTTTGAATGTAGAAGAAGAAACAAAATAGTACCATCTCTTTATTTTTACAGACGAGTAACCATTTACCTTGTTCAACATCTGTCATATTAGTCTATTCTTTGTTTCACATTATTCAAAAGTATAAATTCGCGATGGATAACATTTGTCACTGCGTATTAGAGTATGCTTATAGATTCAGTGAACATCATTGTGTATGACAGAGATAAAAAANGCTGCATCTTTTAGTATATTCTGCTTCTTAATAGCACACATAAAAAAATTGAAAACTGCAATGCAAACTTATAACGATCACGAATGATAACGAAACGAATCTTACTGGAAATTTATTACCATTATATTATGTGAAGTATGATCAAATAGCATAGAAAGAAAGAGCATTTTTTTCTCTATCATCCTGTGTAAAAAGAAACTTTTATCAAGCTTACTAAGTGGTACTAAAATGTCGTTGCCACTACTTGTCGATACCCCTAAGTATAATTTTCTTTTCTTTTTCTTCTTACTGCGTATTTTATCACATGTCTGTAGTCTTTGACACATTCCGATATGTTTTGAAGCACAGAACAGGACAAAAACAATATATAGGCAACGTGATTGTATTTTTTCTGAAGATAAGGAAAAAATTAATCTGAAAAGAAGAAAATAAATGGTAAGTTTCATACGACAAACGAGTACTTCAAAATGAGGAATTTTTCTTTGGATTTATTCTCATCTACCTCATTACCATGAAATGCATTGTATAGTCAGATTTACACTTTAAATTTTACTTTGAATATTCGACGATTTTTACTGAAATGATTAAATTGTTTTTCTCTATTATGTTAGTGTGTTCTTGTTTGAAAAATCATCAGAATATCTATTAGAAAGTTGTCTTACTTTCTAGAAAAAATTGCTGGCCTCTGTAGGAATATACTACAGCATTACAGTAATGTAATTTGAAAACGGACGAAGCATATATTTTTTTGATGTAGAAACACAAAGTGCTATGTCTTGATTGATGGTTCAATAAATAATAAATTGGTGAGGATGAAAAACAAATGAAGAGAGAAAAATTACTTTTCTCAATGTGTACTGTACCCTCTTTTATAGTACTCTTGTAATTGCAACAATAATTCTTATTTCTTTGATTTATTATCTCCGGGTAATGAAAATATTGATACACACAGTTACTCTTTTATTGATTGTATACAGTACATATATTTTTAACAAAAATAATTACATATGTCATTGAATGAATAACAATACTTTAACATTACTAAATATGGGGTGTGGATGCATGTTATAAAGAGTTACATCGATATCCACATCCATATATCCATATATCAGGACAACCACATACACACGGACCCAGATCGACACCCACATCTATACCTAAAACTGAATACAAATCAGGTACACGTGATATTTCCTTTTTTGTTACAGATATGGCCGTTTCAATAGCGAATAAATTCTTGAAAAGCACTACGGTTGTCTGGCTTGGTTCAAACATTAATAGAACAAGTGATTATGACGATGCTCAGCAACAGTTAAAGAATGATGTTGGAGAACAAAAAATATTTTCGGACATCAATGAGTGTACTGACTATCTTATGTCGACAAAATTAAGCTCACAAATTTTTTTGATAGTAACCGACATACTTCCGAAATATGTTAATAAAATTATCGATGACTTTCCACAAGTCTTACAAGTTTGTGTCATTTTCACAGATCCTGATGATCAACAGAAATGGTTGGAAACCTGGGGTGATGATCGTGAATGGGTCACCAAAGAAAACTTTTTAGTGTTTCACAGAAAACCTCTGATTAATGATGGTATGGCATGGCAATTAATAGAAATTTGTGCATCATTGATTAGAATATTAACTAGTTTAATTCCACTGCAAGTTTCAACTTCAGAGTGTTTAAAGAAACTCGACGAGGATGTGATTATTGTTTGGCTTGGTTTAAGTAATATGAATCGTCAAATGAACGGTCATTATCATTCAATTATTAATTATGTAAAAACATTTGATAATGCAGACGCATGCATTGATTATTTATTATCAATACCAACCGGCAAAAAAGTACTTTTTATTTTGTCTAATGTAACTGCTGAATATTTAATTCCATTAATTTACGAATTAAAGCAAATAAGTTCTTTCTATATATTATTAGAGAAAGATAGTGAAAGATGGTCGTCGATAAATTGTTCCAAGATTCAAGGTGTGTTTTTCGAAGAAAAACGTTTATTCTCTAGATTAACTATTGACATTGCATCCTATTCCAAACATACAATGATGCCAACCAGTTTATATCGTTTTAATTCGAAAGAAAAATCAATTCGAGATTTAAGTAAAGAAAATGCTGTATTTATGTGGCATCAAATGCTATTAGAAATATTAATAGCTTTGCCTCAAGTAAACGAATCAAAGGATCAATTAATAGACGAGTGCTGTTTATGTTATGAAAATGACCAAATTGAACAAAAGAAAATTGATGAATTTCGAAAAATGTACACACCCGAACAAGCCATTCGTTGGTATACGCGCGATTCATTTTTATATCGCTCTATTAATAAGGCACTTCGAACGGAAGATTTTGATATTATATTTAAATTTCGTTATATTATTACTGATATACATAATCAATTAAAACAGCATTCATTTTCTGAAAACGAAATTAAAACTGTCTATCGAGGACAATTTGTTCCTAGTGAACAGTTCAAAAGATTAAACGACAATATTGGTGGACTTATATCTATGAATACATTTTTATCAACGAGCACTGATAGAAATGTAGCATTGACTTTTGCTGGTGATGGATCAGCTCGTCCAATACTCGAATCAGTTTTGTTTGAAATAAATATCGACAAGAAAGTTCAAACAAAACCATTTGCTAATATTGAAGAATTAAGTTATTACCAAGATGAAGGAGAAATACTCTTTTCCATTGGTACTGTATTTCAAATCAAAGCTGTTGAGAAATTCACCGATGATATATGGCTTATAAAATTGAATCAAAGTGTTGAACAGGATGATCAATTGAACAAGTTGATGAAACACTATCAAAAAGAGATAATGTTTTCATCATACCCAGCTTTGAATTTTGCAGGGTTTTTGTTTATGATGGGCGAACTTGATAAAGCTGAAAGATATTGTAAAATTTTGCTTTCTGAAACAAACAGCAAAAAATCGTCTATTTATAATTTGCTTGGATTAATTTTAAATGACAAAGGTGAACATGACCAAGCTCAAACATATTATGCACTTTCACTTGAAGATCAATCTTATACATCAGATGAATCGCTTTTTCTTCTACATCCGGCTTCAACTTACAATAATGCTGGCTTAGCTTATTTTTATCAAGAAAATAATGATATGGCTTTAGAGCAATTTTTAAAAGCAATTGATGCTTTAAGCACTAGATATTGTTTACCACTGTTAGCAATAACATATAATCATCTTGGAATGGTATGTAGAAGAATGGAAGAATATGCAGCTGCATTTAAATATTATTCATTAGCATTACAAGTCAAGAAAATATTCTATCCTTCGTGTCATCCTGAAATGGCATCGACATACTGTAATATTGGAGTCGTTCATTTTATGCTTGGTTATTATGAAAATGCGTTACGATGTTATAATAGAGCATTGGAGATAGAGTTAAGATGTTTGCCACCAACTCATCCAGATCTTGCTACAACATATCATAATATAGCTGATGCTTACATGCGTACTGGACGTATGCTTGAAGCTATAGAATATTTTGAAAAATCATTGGCTATTGACCTACTATATTTGCCATTGGATCATCCGAACATTATCAACACAAGATACAGCCTTCATCTATTCAAAGCTATTCATAATACCTAAACATGATCAACATATTAGCCATCGTCTAGTACAGAAGAGACAGTTGTTAAAGTGAATACTAGACAAAAACATTTGAACGTTCAGAATAGAACGGTGAGAAAAATATGGATTGTATTTTTATGAGGATTTCTTTGAAAATGTATTCGTGCCTATATTATTTTGTGTTCTAACAAATAGAGCAAACAACCAGCAAGGCATAATTTATTTGACAGGTATGAAGCAAAATGACTCATGCTTGTTAGTAATTTTGTGTTCGTAATCGCAAAAAATGTATTTTGATGGTTAGTTGCAAATTCATAAGTGAGGTGGAGTATTCAACTGTTTACGATGGAAATTTGCAGAAACCCAACATATGCCTTAAATTGGGGATGAGACTTTTAATTTAATTGAATATCGAAGAATAAATAAATCTATAATTTTTGAATTCAAGAGTTGCATAGACATGATACCGGACGGATTCGAGGATGGGGTGTGGGTGTGGTTCTCTGACACGCCCACATCTACATCCTTGAAATTGTTGTGAGGGATCGAGGGTAGTAGCTCAAAAGTAAAATATAGTAATTACAACATGAACTTTATTGTAGAATCGAAGGTTTTCCTGATCTACATGCATTTAAATCAATAACGAACAGATTTGATGAAAATTCTAATATTATCATAATAGCTGAAATATGTTGATATGTTTTAAGGTATTGATGGAACGTTCGGTAAATATGCAGAGAAAATTTTCTAGAACCTTCTATAATGTACTATCATGCTACAACTACTACTGTTAGAATTCTTCTATATATCTAATGAAATATAATTCTATGAAAGGGATTTGTAAATGAAGAGTCTTATGGAAGTTTATCCTCAATCTTATATCTACGTAGATCGAAATTTGAATTATGTCTCGCTTCATATGGCTTAGTCTATATGTGCCACAGATAATAAACGTATTGTGTTTTCTAGCTTTTGACACTTAGTACAATAAATAAAGAATACTTTTTTTCAAAATGTCAAGTCTCGTCTTGAATAGAAATATTAAGAACTATTTTTCTTTCATTATGAAGGTGTTTGAAATACTGATTCAAGCAGAAAACTGCATCGGGTTCAAGTTAGTAAACTCGATAAGTTCTCTTTAATGCAGCATATATTTAAATGGTCTTCTGTACCATTGATTCAGTAAGTGTGATCAACACACTGAGAAAGCTAATCATAAGAAGTGATTATGACAAGTAGTCTACCTAGTGCCGGACTTACGAGCCTGATCTGATACAGGACTCTAGATTCAAGAGTATAGAGATTTATGCTTTCAGAATTTTCTCGAAGAGATCTCCTCATTATCAAAATATAAACTTCAACAATATTTGGCATGCTCAAATCGTTTTGAATTCATATACGTTGGTGTAGTTGTTCTTGATCAAACTTGATCATGATGTTGTTCGTTGCATATGATATAGGTATATAACGTTGAAATTCTACCTAAGTTGGCCCATTTTATTGCATCTAAAAATATCAAATGTAAAAGCAAGACCGGAAAGTAAACGAATACTAAGGATTCTCACAAACTTTGAAATCTATAGAATCCATTAAGAGATAGCTTTTGCTACTGGTGTAGAAGACACCATGGACAATATAACGGGTGAGTCGAAAGTTTTCGGACAAAATGTTTGCTTATTTTTGACCCACTTGAAAGTATTTCGGACGAGTGGAAAGCTATGGGTTGGAACCAGAATTTTGTGCTCTTTCTGAATATGAGCTTAAAAATATTCTATCTATTTTTGTGCGAAAGTAGTAATGGAATGACTGAAAGATCTGAAACATTATTTTGGACGGGAAATGTTTTCGAACTTTTTTATATTATAACTGTTGCGACTCGAAACTAAAAGTTAGAACCTTTACGGCTCGGCTCTTCTATCAGCTAGTAGAGCAAAAGCTGCCCTACAAAATGTGCTATTTGAGGGTTTTTTTATCATTAAGCAAGACACCTTAAGTTTTTTTTTCTACACTCTCATTTTTGAGAAATCGACTTTTTTATCAAAAGACATTTTACGCAAAAAGGAGCTCCTGACAAATACACATAGCTTCACTTGTGCAAAAGCTACAACTTAAGTCAATGTTACATTTTGTAAAGAAATGTCTGCTCTATAAAATTACCTTGTCCGATAACTGTTAGTGTCTTCGCAAACGGACGTATAAGGGTTAGCAAAAATCTGTTTGTGCGTCGGGTTATCGGAACTTCGCCAATAAGACTTTCGCCAATAGGACATTCGCAGATGGAGAAAGTCCGGGGGCATATTGGCGGAAGTACAGTGAACTTTCGTCAATTGGCGAAATTCCAGGGATCTTTTGAAGAAAGTACAGTGGAGTTTCGCCACTGACGAAAATGCTACTTGGCGAAACTCTTATTGGCGAAGATCCGGAATCCCTATGCGTCGTCCAAAGTAATTTTTAAGGTCTTTCAAAGATTTCTTCACTGTTCTTGAACAAAAATAGATGCAAAATTTCTAAGCCTATATTCGAAAAGAGCACACAATTCTGGTTCTAACCCATAGGTTTTGACTCGTGTGAAATAATTTCAAGTGGGCCAAAAATGACCAAACATTTTGTCCGGAAACTTTCGACTCACCCGTTAGTTTAGAAAAATACGTTAACAACGCGCTAATCTGATATCGGTGAGTATGCGAAAGTTGATCATTACTTTCTTTTAGAATTTTAACGTGTTAGACATAATGAGAAGCATCTGTAAATACTTGTACCAGCCAGAACAAACCTTTTGATTCAGAGTATACCACCACAAGCAAAATTGTAGATCTATCTAAAAGTTCGCATCGGAAGATCTAAACAAAACTGGTAAAAACAGAGTAAACGATATCTAATAATTGAAGTTTGTGTATTGTAACTCAAGGACATTAAACATATTCCAGTCAAATTACAGGTCTAATTTATAAACTAACAAATTTGAAACATGAGCTGCTTATAATGTGAACAGACTGATTTATTCGAATTAAAAAGCATTCACAGTATATGCTATGTGCCAGCAAATGTAAATTTCAATGATACTTTTTTTTCTTTTTTTCTTACGTCTGAATAAAGCTTGTCGAGTTACATGAAAAAAAAATATATTTCACAAAAAGAAAAAAATTCTCACCTCAGTCAGGATTTTGTTCCTATTCTTCAATATATGTGAAAACAACAATTCCTTTTACTTTTCTCTTACAGTCCTTTTGTGTGTTTCAACGGTATAGCTTTTTCTAAACTTGGATTATGTTCAGCGAAGAAAAATTTAGTAAGTGTCGTCTTTAAATTAAGATTTTTCACCGAGACCTGGTATGGAACTGATCGAGAGTGGGTGTGTAAGTGTGGGTGTAGACCTTGTCTTCGTCGACAACGATGCCTACGTCTTCATTCACTCCGACACTCACATCCTCACACCCACACCCACCCTTCTTTCCGGATATGAGTTCAGAAATTCTATGTCTTTTTTTGTTTGGAAGCAGTCAAGCAATCATTGAATTGCTGAAAAAGTTAGTTTGGACAAAAATAGCTGTTGTACATTTTTGTATTCTCACTGTTCCAATTCGAAATTCAACGTTGGAACTTTGGCTCATATATCAGATTGCAGAGCGAATTCTGCCCTACAAAATGCGCTATTTCAGTTTCTTTTTGTTGTCTTACTACCCTCGTTTTTGAAAAATCGATCTTTTTAACCAAAATCTATCTCATGTAGAAATAGCTTCTCAGAAATTGCTTATACTATCATTGGCATAAAAGCGATATTGGAATTCGACATCACATTTTGTAGAGGAATTTTTGCTTTAAAAAAAGAATACCATATTCAAACGTTTTTAGCATCTTTACATAGAACTGACGGGAGAAGCAAATACCTATGTGTTCATCAATCAATCCAATTTTCAGGCATTCTCAAAGATTATCTCACTACTCTCGTACAAAATCTGATACGAAACTTTTGAGCCCATAGTCAGGACGAGCACAAAATTCTAATCATTAGTTGTAGTTTTCATTCGTCTACAATACTTTTAAGTAGGTCTAAAATAAAGCAAATATTGTCCAAAAACCGTCGACTCAACCATTTTGTCCAAATTAGTTTTTTTATACCTTTCAAAACTTTTCACTTCTTCCTTACAAAAGTAGATACAAAACTTCTGACTCGATATTCAGAAAGAGCACACTTGTCTGGTTCGTACCTCTACTTTTTCATTTGTTTAGAATCCTTTCAAGCGAATCGAAAATAAGCAAACATATTGTCTCAAAACTTTCGGCCTACCCGTTACATGCTCGATCATCTCGCTAACGTGAACTATATCTGAGGTTTTCCCTCGGCCTGGGTGCGGAATGTGGGTGTGAGACAGAACAAGATTAATCTACTCAGGCATATACTTGCATCGACATCGATGCCCACATCCAAAAAGTATCCCAAATACCCAAATTCAAGTTTAAGTCAATTCGCCATGATCGGCATCGAAGTCTGCTCGCATTGAGTTTTCTCTGGTTTAGTAAACCCCTCCCTATAATAGAAGCCCCTCCCATATTAGAAGCTCCCTCCAGAAGAATCAATGTGAAAGATGTATTAGAAGCCACCTTATTGTAAAAACTTTTTGAAAATTTTCATTGGAATTTTTATTGGAATTTTCATCATAAAACTTTCGGAATTTAAGATCTGACGGTAAGAATTTGTTTGACTTTCTTATTTACCAGCATAAAAATCTTAAAATCTCCTAGAAAGTCGTTTGAACAACTCTTAAAAACTCTGAAAATCCCTAAAATCCTTTGAAATTTTTTCCATCTAATGATAATAATAATGATTTAACAGGAGTATATAACATTATTATTTAAATTTGACAGAAGGAAACAGAAATTTCTTTTTTTCAAATTTTTTGTTTTATTTTATTTCATATCGACCTTTCGAAGTATAAATCTTGATTACCGAAATATATAAGATGATAGTGTTACAAAAAAGTAGAAAATTGTACATAGAATAAAATAAAAACAAAGGG